GTGTTGGCCGTAATACCGGAATTTGGTCACAATCGGCTGAATGGATGGCTCTGTCTTCTACGCGAGATGCCTTTTCCCCCGCCAGAGGGCGCCACAGAGCGACGGGCCCCTGGGAAACTTGGTGACTGGTGACGGCTGTCCTGATCCACTCATGATTGGGTTGCTCTTCCCCTGCAATAGCAGTCGTAAAGGAGGCCTGACATTTATGTGTGCAGGAATTATAACTGTGTTCTCAAACCCTTAAATATGCAAAGGGCATTTGTCATTATTGTCTCTGCTCCTCTTCATGGCCAGGCCGGAATGTGGCAGCTATTATTAGTGCGGACGCCTTGTGCAGCTTGGACACCTGTTGTTTTGGCTGATATCTGTTACCGCTGCCTTTCTATCTCATTAATTGACTTTTTTTTTTCAAAAGCAATTTTAGGTTTGCAGGAAAAAAAAAAAACTGAGTCAAGGTACAGAGAGTTCCACACCCTCCTCGAGACTCCCGCCCCAAATTTGCTCATTCTGGACATCTCGCGTCGATGGAGGACATTTGCTTCAACTAATAGTCAGGACTGGTACATCGTCAGCAGTTAAAGAACTTTAGCTAAGATTCCCTTTTCTTGTTTAACATTCTGTAGTGTACATGCGCTTTCAAACTGCTAAAGCCAACATTACTTTAAAAGATGTTTTAGGTTCCCAGCAAACCTGAGAGGAAGGTGCGGTTTTCCCGTTCTTTGGCTGACCCCGCAAACACACAGCCTTCCACATCACCAACAGCGCCCAGCAGTTCAAGGACAATTATGACGACATACGTCCACCACCGAAGTGTCACACGGAAGAGTTTCTCTGTCCTAAAAATACCCAGGACACCCCTGATTCGTCTTTGTCTCCTCGAAGCCTCCTGGCAAGCGCCTGTGTTCTTTACTGTCGCCATAGTCTTGCCTGTCCCAGAATGTCGTCTCGTGGGCATTGTGCCGCACACACCTTCTCCAGATTGGCTGCCTTCCCTGAGCAGCCTCACTGCCAGTCCCTGCCCATCTTTTCCAGCACAGCGTCGCATCTCTGTCACTATCGCTCACCCTACCCATGTATAGCAGCTTCTTCACCCGCTGAAGGACGACGTGGTTGCTTCCAAGTTTTGGCAATTATGACTGGAGCAGCTATGAACGTTCATATTCTGGTTTTGATGTGGACATAAGTTTTCAACTCATTTGGGTAAATACCAAGGAGCACAATTATGCACCATATGGAAAGGGTATGTTTAGTTTTGCGAGAAACTGTCTTTCCAGTGGCCGCACGATTCTGCGCAGGGAGGAGCATTCCTGGTGCTCCTCAGTCTCGTCAGCACTTGGTATTGTCAGCTTTTTGGATTTTGGCCACTGTCTATGTCTGGGATCCCAGCACTCTAGGAGACTGAGGCAGGAGAATCATAAGTCTGAATTCCACTTGGGCAACTTCGTGAAACCCTATCTCCAAATAAGAAAATGAATAAGTAAAAAGGGTCAGGGATATAGCTCAGTGGAGAAACCCCCATTGGTTTTGTGTTTGTTTTGAGACAGGGTCTCGCTCTGTAATTCAGGTTTGCACTGAACGCTCATCGACCTTCCTGTCTCAGCCTCCGAGTCAGGTGGCGTCCCTGCTTCCAGTACCACAACTGCCAAGTAGTAAGAGCGCCAAATGAGGTGCGCCAGCCAGTGCATTTTGACAGATGTGCACAGTGTCAATCACAGTCACGATAGGGGACCATGGCAGCATCTCAGACTGTCCCCTCACCGCAATCTGTCCTTGGATTAGGACAGATTAGGAGGTTCCTAATCAGTCTCCCAGCCCCGCCCACAAGGATACTGCCCCAGGCACCCACTGATCTTCCTCTTCTGAACAAGTCCTTGTCCACAAGCCTGACTCCTCTTGGCTTTGAGGTTTCTCTCAGCCCCCCAGCATGGGCAGAGGTGTGTCTTACCCATGGCTTGCCCCTCCCCCGTCATGGCTTTGCGGGCGATTTCCAGCTCTCCAGCTGTGGCTAGTGGAGTACTTGTGCGACCGGCTCTGCATTCTGGTGGGCGAAGCCTTAGGAGCGGGCTTGCCGCTCCCTGTCTCTGGAGGGGGCTGTGGTGCGATGTCACCTTCCACCCAGCACCCAGCTGGGTTCACATCCTCAGATCTTGGCAGTGTGATGCTTTGGGAAAGGGGCCTTTGCAGATGCATTTATGTGAAGGACTGCTAAGTGACATTACACTGCACTGAGACAGTTGCCCTCCTACACTGGAGGCAGAGGGGGCCTGGAGTCACACACCAGACGGACGCTGTGATGGGAGGCAAGGGCAGATTGTGGTGAGCGGCTTCAGCCAGGGCTGCCAGCAGCCAGAGAGAGCAGAAGAATTCTTTCTCCCCACACTGCCGCCAGCCACGCCTTGGCTGCAGACTTCCGCCTTTCCCAGACAGTGAATTTCTCTTCTTTCGAGCCAGACAGTGTGTGGTCATTTTTCACGACAGTCCAAGCACACTGCGGCTGCAGCACCTCCCGGGGTGGGAGGTCTTAGGGGATGCTGCACAGGAGACTGTGGGTGTGGCAATGCCAGGGTCCCAAGGGCGGGCTGTCCTGGATGCCTAGACTGGGGCTGGCCCTTGTCCACTGCTTTGCAGTCCTGCAGGGACTATAATGAAGAGTCGCCTGTGTTCTTGATTAAAGAATGTTCTGCCTTCAAGGAGATGTACAGGGCTGATCCAGAAGATACAGTGGTGGGCCGGCAAGATAGCTCAGTAGACTAAGCACCTGTTTAGGCAAGCACAGGGACTGGGGTTCAATCCCTGGCATCACATGGTGTTCCTGCCCTACCTCCAGGTGCGCTGAGCTGGCTGCAGAGACCGGGTGTGGGGGTGCATGCCTGTAATCCCAGTGCTGGGGAGGCTGACAACAGCAGGATCACTATGAGTCAAGCTGTGTAGTAAGACCCTGTACCAAATACAAAAGATACGGTGGTGGTTTAAATTTGTTTTAATGTATTGCAGTAAAAGCTAGTGCTACAACTTGAAAAATCCTCTTCCTCATTTTGAACACTCATCTCACTGTCCTGGCCACCTCCCAAAGCAGCTCTGGAGTCCTCTTTCCTGAGCGTCTTTACACTGTGCAATAAAAAGTACAGCCAACACTTCTGCTGAGCCCTGTCCGACAGAAAGGTGGGCTCAAAAAAACATGTCACTGTGTCCTCATCCACCGGGGCCACCAGATCTGGCGCCCTGGAACTTCTGGCTCATCCCCAAGATCAAAGTGACTGGGAATGGGAAACTTCGTTGTTGCTCTTTGGGTCTCGCTATGCCGCTCAGGCTGGCCTTGAGCTCACTTTGTTGCCCAGGCTGGACTTGAACTCGCAACAATCCTCCTGCCTCAGTCTCTTGAGTGCTGGGATTACGGGCGCGCACCACCATGCCTGGCTCCAAGGGAAACATTTTTTAATTCATTCGGGATGTCAGGGCAATCGTGAGTTTGAGAACTATTTTAGAAAATGACAAGAATGATGGGATAAGTGTGTCCAAATAGAGGGTGGGGAGATTTTTAAGAGAATGCCAATGTCCTTTCCTGTAATACATTTTCTTTCTTTCTTTCTTTCTTTCTTTCTTTCTTTCTTTCTTTCTTTCTTTCTTTCTTTCTTTGTGGCCAGATCAGCTCACCCTGGGGGTAGGGCTGGTGCCACATGTGGTGCTGGGGATCGAACCGCAGTCCCTGCGCTTGCCTAAGCTTGCCTAAGCCGGTGCTTTAGACTGCTGAGCTATCTTGCCGGCCCTCTTGTAATAAGTTTTTAAAAAATTTAAACATCGTATTCTAAATATCCCACTTTTTTTTTTTTTTTTAAACTGGGGATTGAACTCAGACCCTAACACTTGCTAGGGAAGTGTTTATTCCACTCAGCCATCTCCCCAGCCGAATAGCCTATTTCTTTTTCTTTCTTTCTTTCTCTTTTTTTTTTTTTTTTTTGGCGGAACCGGGGATTGAACTCAGGCCCTTGTGTTTGCCAGGCAAGCACTTATTCGACTGACCAATAGCCTATTTCTGATTCACCTTCCCAGCAAAAGGCATGACGGCCTGAAGGCATCTGAGCCAATCACAAGCCAGATGGGCAGGGAGGAGTCAGGACGGCAGGGGCGGGCCAAAGCACACTGCCCAAACTGGACACGATGATTGGCCCCAAGGCCAAAGGCCTGAGAAGGACCAATCAGAATCCGGAAGGACGAGGAGCCGCCCGTTATCTTGTTTCCCTAGAAACGATCTGCTGGAGAGTACCACAGGTCCAGTTCGCCTGCACTTGGAGCAGGTCTTGTTCCTGCCCTACCCGGCAGCCACCCACTCCATGCGCTTGCTGGCTGACGTGCCTGCTCCACACAACCGGTACCACAAATGACAGATGCCTGTTTTCCCAACTGGCTCTGCAGCTCAGGGTCTTCACAGAGCCTGGTTCTGACAGAAGAGGAACAAGACAAGAACCCTTCTGGAGAGAGAAAGGAACACATCCGGGAGGCCCTGTCCGTACTTCTTTCATTCCACGTGCGAGGCAGGGCACAGTCTATGCTCAGAGATGCCAGCTCACCCCCCACACCATGTTGCAAGCTCAGCGCCTGCACAAAAATCCTATCCTTTAAACTCTTCCAGTTGGAATTCTGTATTTGGGGTTTTTTTTTGTTTTTGTTTTTGTTTTCCGGCAGAAGCCCACAACACCAAGCAGCCACAGGCAGGCAAGAAAGAGGAGAGTGGCAGGAAGTGGCCAGCACACCTAGATCGAGCTGTGCCTAAAGTCCCCACGCTATCCCACTCTCCATATACTGAGGTCTCTCGGCTCTATTTGTGCTTCTGTGCTGTATTTTGTGTCCTATCAACCGCAGTGGTCCTGGCAAACAGAATTTTAAAAAATCAAGGCCCAGAGAGATGGACTGAGCTGCCCAACCGCACAACCAGGCCTGCATCTGTGTGATGCAGGCTCTCACGCAACTCCCTGTCCTAGAGAGGACAGGAGCTCTGGGTGGTGAGACCCACGGAGTGTGTTTATTCTGGCGTTGATAGCAGCAGCAGTGGGGGGGGGGTTGGCCAGACGCAGGGGGCGGTGAACACGGTGGGGGACACAGCTGTGTGTGTCGGAGGGCGGGGGGGGGACACGGAGGTCTGGTTTGGTGACATCCACGGTGACAACAAGAATCAGGACACCGGGCTTGGACAACAGTAAAGAGACAGAGCAACAGAGGGTTGGGGGAGGGGTCCCCCGGACATGCACGGCCCCTCGCCTTGAGGGGGAGCCCTGGGAAGACAAGACAGACAGTGGAGGCTAAATGCCCCCCACCCTGAACCAGGGCGCTGGGCTGCCCGCTGCCCACCCACACACATCCGGGATGGACGGCCGGGCCCAGGGCAGCCCTGCACCAGCAGCTCGGACGCTATGGCTTCAAGGAGATGATTTCACGGTCCGGGCAGGAAGGGGTGGGGTCCTGAGGGGCCTGGTCAGATCCCCAGCCTAGGCCAGACCTGCAAGGGAGCCAGAAGGGAGAGGTTAGAGGTCAGGGGCAGTGGCAAGTAAGGTTGGGATCACCTGTCACTCCAACAGTACCAGGAACAGACCGGAAATCCTGTGCCTGTGCCCCCCACCCGCCCCCAGACCCAGGAGCCCCAGGCCCAGCCTCCTCCATCTCAGCTTCTCACCCCTCACTCTGAGTTCTCTTTCTCTGATAGTCCTTTGCCACCTTTCGTGAAGCTGGTCAGAGTCTTCTCCTGAATGAGAAGATCCAGAAGGATCAGGAGTCGGGGACAGAGACAGAACAACCACTTATAATCAACAGCAAATCCTGTTTCATTATTTATGGTGTTTTTTCACTCAGCTCTGAAAGGATGAGGCCAACTGTATTCCAATCCCATTTTACAGATGGAGAAACTGAGGCACAAAACCCAAGTCTCTGGAAATGTGAGGAAAAATGGGACCACACGCTACAAGGGTGAGTGGGACAGGTCTTGCCTGAGGTAGAGGGTCAGAGACACTGTCCCTGGGGTATTGGGGAGCTACAGAGAGCCATGGGGAGGGCAGCGCTGGATGCACCCAGATGTTCAGAGCCTTACAGAGCACCATGGGCTGAGTGGACGCTTCTGGGGAAGCTTGTGGCATGGATGAGTCAGGACAAGAGTAATGGGGGTCCCTTCTGCTGCCCAGCAGCCTCCGTCCTCTCAGAGCAGAATCGGGTGTTTCTTATCTCAAATCTGAGCTCTGCAGCCAGCTGTCCTGTCTGTCCCTGTCACCCCTGGAAGAGGACTGGCAGAGAAATACAGGGGACTCACCCCAGGGTCTGAATTGAGGGGGCACAAACTTAGCCATCCAGGTAAAGAACAGCTTAAGGCAGTATTTTAAGAAGACAGAGGTAATGTTAAAAAAAAAAAAATCCATGATGAACAAAATTCTCCCCCTTATTTTTATGGTGCTAGAGATTGAACTCAGAGCCTTTGCACTGAGTTATATCCCTAACCCTTTTTATTTGTCTTTTGTTGGTTTGTTTATTTTAAGACAAGGGCTCACTAAGTCACTAATTGCCCAGGTTGGGCTTGAACTCATGATTCTCCTGCCTCAGCCTCTCAGAGTATTAGGATGACAGGCTCTTGTTGCCAAACCCGGCCCAAAGGACCCAATTTTCAATCAGGTGGACTGACAAAGATTGTGGGTCCCCTTAGCATGTTTTGACTTTTTTTTTTTTTTTTTTTTT